GGACCTGGTAGGAGGCCTGGTTGAGGACCTGGTAGGAGGCGTGGTTGAGGACCTGGTAGGAGGCCTGGTTGAGGACCGATTAGACCTGGTAGGAGGCCTGGTCGAGGACCAGTTAGACCTGGTAGGAGGCCTGGTTGAGGACCTGGTAGGAGGCCTAGTTGAGGACCTGGTAGGAGGCCTGGTTGAGGACCGATTAGACCTGGTAGGAGGCCTGGTCGAGGACCAGTTAGACCTGGTAGGAGGCCTGGTTGAGGACCGATTAGACCTGGTAGGAGGCCTGGTCGAGGACCAGTTAGACCTGGTAGGAGGCCTGGTCGAGGACCAGTTAGACCTGGTAGGAGGCCTGGTCGAGGACCGATTAGACCTGGTAGGAGGCCTGGTCGAGGACCGGGCCGCAGGGACGCTAAGCCCCGAAATCGTGGTAAGGTAAGCCTTCCCCTGCTGGCTCGCGTGTTCCACATGCTCAACTGGGTTCTCTGAGAATCACGGCCGGGCAAAAAGGGTCTTATGTCTACCACATTAAATCCACCGGTGGACTTCTCACCCTGTCACCCAGAGGTGACACAACTTTACACCAACTATTGGACAAAAGTTTCATACGAGTTCATCCGCTACATCTCGTATTATTAATTTTGTAGAGCGTCTGAGAAGGTCTGAGAAATACGGCAGCACACCTAAACTTTCAAAGGCCCATTATAGCACATATGTGTTATAATTTGTATTATTGTATTTATTATTTTATTATTTATATATACAAGAGTTGTTACAGTCTTGTACAGCCATTAGTACGCATAGCGTTTCGGGCAAGTCCTTAAACCCTAATATTACCAGGACTACGACCTGTCCAATCGTTTAATAGCCAGGTACCCATTTTACTGCTGGGTGAACTGAGGCTACAGTTAAGGATTGGCGCCTAGTTAATCCTCCGCGGACAGGATACGAACCCAGGCCATAGCCTGGGGTTCTATAATATGTATTATAGTTGATATAAGTTTGTGTATATAGGACTAGGATTATATATATAGCTTACGGTAGATTGTAGTTAATATTTCGCTCTTAGAATACGATTCTGAGTATTCCACTCGTATGAAACTTGAAATTGTGAAGATCCTTTTATAATCGAAACGAAACTTGGCCGAAACGCTATGCGTACTTGTGGCTTTAGGTATTGTATGCACTCGTACTAGTGGCTTTAGGTATTGTATGCACTCGTACTAGTGGCTTTAGGTATTGTATGCACTCTTATCTTTAAATCTAACATTACGTGTGTAACTCAATGTATGGACCTTTACCTGAAGACAAAATCTAAATGTAAATCAAAAGTTAGCCTAGGTACCGGCACTTCCGGGGGAGGGGTACCGGCACTTCCGGGGGAGGGGTACCGGCACTTCCGGGGGAGGGGTACCGGCACTTCCGGGGGAGGGGTACCGGCACTTCCGGGGGAGGGGTACCGGCACTTCCGGGGGAGGGGTACCGGCACTTCCGGGGGAGGGGTACCGGCACTTCCGGGGGAGGGGTACCGGCACTTCCGGGGAGGGGTACCGGCACTTCCGGGGGAGGGGTACCGGCACTTCCGGGGGAGGGGTACCGGCACTTCCGGGGGAGGGGTACCGGCACTTCCGGGGGAGGGGTACCGGCACTTCCGGGGGAGGGGTACCGGCACTTCCGGGGGAGGGGTACCGGCACTTCCGGGGGAGGGGTACCGGCACTCCCGGGGGAGGGGTACCGGCACTTCCGGGGGAGGGGTACCGGCACTTCCGGGGGAGGGGTACCGGCACTTCCGGGGGAGGGGTACCGGCACTTCCGGGGGAGGGGTACCGGCACTTCCGGGGGAGGGGTACCGGCACTTCCGGGGGAGGGGTACCGGCACTTCCGGGGGAGGGGTACCGGCACTTCCGGGGGAGGGGTACCGGCACTTCCGGGGGAGGGGTACCGGCACTTCCGGGGGAGGGGTACCGGCACTTCCGGGGGAGGGGTACCGGCACTCCCGGGGGAGGGGTACCGGCACTTCCGGGGGAGGGGTACCGGCACTTCCGGGGGAGGGGTACCGGCACTTCCGGGGGAGGGGTACCGGCACTTCCGGGGGAGGGGTACCGGCACTTCCGGGGGAGGGGTACCGGCACTTCCGGGGGAGGGGTACCGGCACTTCCGGGGGAGGGGTACCGGCACTTCCGGGGGAGGGGTACCGGCACTTCCGGGGGAGGGGTACCGGCACTTCCGGGGGAGGGGTACCGGCACTCCCGGGGGAGGGGTACCGGCACTCCCGGGGGAGGGGTACCGGCACTCCCGGGGGAGGGGTACCGGCACTTCCGGGGGAGGGGTACCGGCACTCCCGGGGGAGGGGTACCGGCACTCCCGGGGGAGGGGTACCGGCACTCCCGGGGGAGGGGTACCGGCACTCCCGGGGAGGGGTACCGGCACTCCCGGGGGAGGGGTACCGGCACTTCCGGGGGAGGGGTACCGGCACTCCCGGGGGAGGGGTACCGGCACTCCCGGGGGAGGGGTACCGGCACTCCCGGGGGAGGGATTGTAATTCATCAAGTGTTTTAGGTTTCACTAAAATAATTTCTTTATAAACCATTTTCCTTCATACTTCCACAACTCTTGAAGTTATCTTGAGATGATTTCGGGGCTTAGCGTTCCCCTCGGCCCGGTCCTCGACCTGGCCTCCTTTTTTGTTACACACCCCCAGGAAGCAGCCCGTAGCAGATGTCTAACTCTATCATATCTAGTATGAGTGAGTCTGTGTCTTGTACCTTATATTCCGTGTAAGGTCTTAATTTTTCCTATGCCTAAGTACCTGGTTGATGGGGTTCTGGGAGTTCTTCTACTCCCCAAGCCCGGCCCGAGGCCAGGCTTGACTTGTGAGAGTTTGGTCCACCAGGCTGTTGCTTGGAGCGGCCTGCAGGCCCACATACCCACCACAGCCCGGTTGGTCCGGCACTCCTTGGAGAAAACTATCTAGTTTCCTCTTGAAGATGTCCACGGTTGTTCCGACAATATTTCTTATGCTCGCTTGGAGGACGTTGAACAACCGCGGACCTCTGATGTTTATACAGTGTTCTCTGATTGTGCCTATGGCACCTCTGCTGTTCACTGGTTCTATTCTGCATTTTCTTCCATATCCTTCAGTCCAGTACGTTGTTATTTTACTGTGTAGATTTGGGACCTGTCCCTCCAGTATTTTCCATGTGTATATTATTTGATATCTCTCTCGTCTCCTTTCTAGTGAGTACATTTAGAGAGCTTTGAGACGATCCCAATAATTTAAGTGATTTATCGCGTCTATGTTCTCTGTATTCCTTCTATTTCAGCAATCTCTCCTGCTCTGAAAGGGGAAGTGACTACTGAGCAGTACCAGGAATTTATCGGTTAAAATCATATTATTTTCCGGTGGCAATCGGAAACTTCATCGAAAACTTCATTAACATCAGCTTGTAGTTTTACAATGTCTCCTACAGGTGTAATTGTCATGTTGAATCTTGTGTCACATGCAAAAGACCTCGCCGAGCTGCGATTTATATTTGTCTATATGTGATGTCTATATATGATAAGAATAAGAAAAAGCAGTGGTGCAAGGACAGTGTCCTGAGGTACACAGCTTTTCACTGTGTTTGGACTTGATTTTGTTTCACTGTTATTCTTTTCATTCTGTCCGACAAGAAATTTAGTATCCACCGTCCTACTTTACCAGTTATTCGCATTGATCTCATTTAATGTGCTAATACGTCATGGTCATATTTATAAAATGCCTTTGCAAAGCCTGTGTATATCACATTTTGTTTTTTCTTGTAATGCCTCAGTGATGTCGTAGTGCTCAAGTAGCTGTGAGAGGCACGATCTTCCCGCTCTACATCCATGTTGGCCTGGGTTGTGAAGGTCATTGGTCTCCATGAAACTGGTGACCTGACTCCTGATCACTCTCTCAAATACTTTTATTATGTGGGACGTTAGTGCAACTGGTCTATAATTCTTTGTCAATGCTTTGCTCCCTCCCTTGTGTAGAGGTCTGCTGAATTAGGGTCTGCTGATGTCCCATCTGTATCCAAGCTTTTTCTCGACACAACACTGAGTGCTCACGCTACTGGATCTTTACATTTTTTTATGAATATGAAATTCCATGAGTATTCACCCAGTTGTGCTTGCGGGGGTTGAGCTCTGGCTCCTTGGTCCCACCTCTCAACTGTCAATCAACTGGTGTATAGAGTATTCACCCAGTTGTGCTTGCTGGGGTTGAGCTCTGGTTCCTTGGTCCCACCTCTCAACTGTCAATCAACTGGTGTATAGATTCCTGACGTCCGAACACTTTCGGAACAAATGCTTCACTGACGACTTTTGTTCGAACCACAACGCTGTAAATGCTTCACCCACGTACTACAAATACAAGTAATCGCCAACAGAACCTAAACACCTAACCTCTGCCTAAATTTGGACAATATGATAATATAATATTAATTTACATTTTAGAAAATTTGTTTTGAATGAACAGCATGTAAAAATTGATGAATGCGTCTGCGGGGTCGACCGCTGGATGGAATGGACTTGGTCTGAGGACGGGTTGTAGACAGCAGCAGCAACGCCACAAATGGTTAGTGGCCAGTAACGGAACTGTAGTTGAAGAACTTCTCCTCTACCATGAAGAGGGTAGACATGGAGGAGGTAGACATGGAGGAGGTAGACATGGAGGAGGTAGACATGGAAGGGGTAGACATGGAAGGGGTAGACATGGAAGGGGTAGACATGGAAGGGGATAGACATGGACGGGGATAGACATGGACGGGGATAGACATGGAGGAGGTAGACATGGAAGAGGTAGACATGGAAGAGGTAGACATGGAGGGGAGTAGACATGGAGGGGAGTAGACATGGAGGGGAGTAGACATGGAGGGGAGTAGATAGACATGGAGGGGAGTAGATATGGAGGGGAGTAGATATGGAGGGGAGTAGATATGGAGGGGGTAGATAGACATGGAGGGGGTAGACATAATGTCAGTACTCACCGCATAGTTGAACTGAGCGTTGAACTCCGGGTTGTTAGCCATGATGCGTCTCTCTGTCTCTGTGGAGGAGAAGCAATGGCTGAGTTACTGCGGGGCTACGTGCAGGGAACACCATGCCCACCACCACCACACTGGGCAAGCCATGCCCATCACCACACACTGGGCAAGCCATGCCCACCACCACACACTGGGCAAGCCATGCCCATCACCACACACTGGGCAAGCCATGCCCATCACCACACACTGGGCAAGCCATGCCCACCACCACACACTGGGCAAGCCATGCCCATCACCACACACTGGGCAAGCCATGCCCATCACCACACACTGGGCAAGCCATGCCCACCACCACACACTGGGCAAGCCATGCCCACCACCACACACTGGGCAAGCCATGCCCATCACCACACACTGGGCAAGCCATGCCCATCACCACACACTGGACAAGCCATGCCCATCACCACCACACACTGGGCAAGCCATGCCCATCACCACACACTGGGCAAGCCATGCCCACCACCACACACTGGACAAGTCATGCCCACCACCACACACTGGGCAAGCCATGCCCACCACCACACACTGGGCAAGCCATGCCCACCACCACACACTGGACAAGCCATGCCCACCACCACACACTGGGCAAGCAATGCCCACCACCACCACACACTGGGCAAGCCATGCCCATCACCACACACTGGGCAAGCCATGCCCATCACCACACACTGGGCAAGCCATGCCCACCACCACCACACACTGGGCAAGCCATGCCCATCACCACACACTGGGCAAGCCATGCCCACCACCACCACACACTGGACAAGCCATGCCCACCACCACCACACACTGGGCAAGCCATGCCCATCACCACACACTGGGCAAGCCATGCCCACCACCACCACACACTGGGCAAGCCATGCCCACCACCACACACTGGGCAAGCAATGCCCACCACCACCACACACTGGGCAAGCCATGCCCACCACCACACACTGGGCAAGCCATGCCCACCACCACACACTGGGCAAGCCATGCCCACCACCACACACTGGGCAAGCCATGCCCACCACCACACACTGGGCAAGCCATGCCCACCACCACCACACACTGGGCAAGCCATGCCCATCACCACACACTGGGCAAGCCATGCCCACCACCACACACTGGACAAGCCATGCTCACCACCACACACTGGACAAGCCATGCCCACCACCACCACACACTGGGCAAGCCATGCCCATCACCACACACTGGGCAAGCCATGCCCACCACCACACACTGGGCAAGCCATGCCCACCACCACACACTGGGCAAGCCATGCCCACCACCACACACACTGGGCAAGCCATGCCCACCACCACACACACTGGGCAAGCCATGCCCACCACCACACACACTGGGCAAGCCATGCCCACCACCACACACTGGGCAAGCCATGCCCACCACCACACACTGGGCAAGCCATGCCCACCACCACCACACTGGGCAAGCCATGCCCACCACCACCACACTGGGCAAGCCATGCCCACCACCACACACTGGGCAAGCCATGCCCATCACCACACACTGGGCAAGCCATGCCCACCACCACACACTGGGCAAGCCATGCCCACCACCACCACACTGGGCAAGCCATGCCCACCACCACACACTGGGCAAGCCATGCCCACCACCACACACTGGGCAAGCCATGCCCACCACCACCACACTGGGCAAGCCATGCCCACCACCACCACACTGGGCAAGCCATGCCCACCACCACACACTGGGCAAGCCATGCCCACCACCACACACTGGGCAAGCCATGCCCACCACACACACACACAACTGTCAACTGTGACACACACACTGAGTACACATAGTTGTCACACCCAGAACGAAGTCTGTGATATTCTTAACAGTTAAGAAATATAGATTTAACATAAACATGTTATAGTGGCCAGAACACGCCTGGGATATAGACGTATCTGGCAGCTTTCTCAAAGCCCAAATGTCCAATACACCATGTGTCAACCTTGTGAAAGTCTCCAATACACCATGTGTCAACCTTGTGAAAGTGTCCAATACACCATGTGTCAACTTTGTGAAAGTGTCCAATACACCATGTGTCAACCTAGTGAAAGTGTCCAATACACCATGTGTCAACTTTGTGAAAGTGTCCAATACACCATGTGTCAACTTTGTGAAAGTGTCCAATACACCATGTGTCAACTTTGTGAAAGTGTCCAATACACCATGTGTCAACTTTGTGAAAGTGTCCAATACACCATGTGTCAACTTTGTGAAAGTGTCCAATACACCATGTGTCAACTTTGTGAAAGTGTCCAATACACCATGTGTCAACTTTGTGAAAGTGTCCAATACACCATGTGTCAACTTTGTGAAAGTGTCCAATACACCATGTGTCAACTTTGTGAAAGTGTCCAATACACCATGTGTCAACTTTGTGAAAGTGTCCAATACACCATGTGTCAACTTTGTGAAAGTGTCCAATACACCATGTGTCAACTTTGTGAAAGTGTCCAATACACCATGTGTCAACTTTGTGAAAGTGTCCAATACACCATGTGTCAACTTTGTGAAAGTGTCCAATACACCATGTGTCAACTTTGTGAAAGTGTCCAATACACCATGTGTCAACTTTGTGAAAGTGTCCAATACACCATGTGTCAACTTTGTGAAAGTGTCCAATACACCATGTGTCAACTTTGTGAAAGTGTCCAATACACCATGTGTCAACTTTGTGAAAGTGTCCAATACACCATGTGTCAACTTTGTGAAAGTGTCCAATACACCATGTGTCAACTTTGTGAAAGTGTCCAATACACCATGTGTCAACTTTGTGAAAGTGTCCAATACACCATGTGTCAACTTTGTGAAAGTGTCCAATACACCATGTGTCAACTTTGTGAAAGTGTCCAATACACCATGTGTCAACTTTGTGAAAGTGTCCAATACACCATGTGTCAACTTTGTGAAAGTGTCCAATACACCATGTGTCAACTTTGTGAAAGTGTCCAATACACCATGTGTCAACTTTGTGAAAGTGTCCAATACACCATGTGTCAACTTTGTGAAAGTGTCCAATACACCATGTGTCAACTTTGTGAAAGTGTCCAATACACCATGTGTCAACTTTGTGAAAGTGTCCAATACACCATGTGTCAACTTTGTGAAAGTGTCCAATACACCATGTGTCAACTTTGTGAAAGTGTCCAATACACCATGTGTCAACTTTGTGAAAGTGTCCAATACACCATGTGTCAACTTTGTGAAAGTGTCCAATACACCATGTGTCAACTTTGTAAAAGTGTCCAATACACTGTGTGTCAACTTTGTGAAAGTGTCCAATACACTGTGTGTCAACTTTATGAAAGTGTCCAATACACTGTGTCAACTTTATGAAAGTGTCCAATACACTGTGTGTCAACTTTATGAAAGTGTCCAATACACTGTGTGTCAACTTTGTGAAAGTGTCCAATACACTGTGTGTCAACTTTGTGAAAGTGTCCAATACACTGTGTGTCAACTTTGTGAAAGTGTCCAATACACCATGTGTCAACTTTGTGAAAGTGTCCAATACACCAAGTGTCAACTTTGTGAAAGTGTCCAATACACCATGTGTCAACTTTGTGAAAGTGTCCAATACACCATGTGTCAACTTTGTGAAAGTGTCCAATACACCATGTGTCAACTTTGTGAAAGTGTCCAATACACCATGTGTCAACCTTGTGAAAGTGTCCAATACACCATGTGTCAACCTTGTGAAAGTGTCCAATACACCATGTGTCAACCTTGTGAAAGTTACATGTGTTATATGTTTATATTATGTGTGTGTGTGTGTGTGTGTGTGTGTGTGTGTGTGTGTGTGTGTGTGTGTGTGTGTGTGTGTGTGTGTGTGTGTGTGTGTGTGTGTGTGTACATACTGGTTACAATCGTATTATACCTTTGCAAACGCACAATAATCACCTGAGGTTGCAACCCGTTCTCGCACTTGCTCACAGTCAATATTGGCTTATTTAATAAGTGCATATGTGACATACTAATTGATTGTGAATATTTTAGTTTACCTTGAAAAGCTTCATAGAAAACACCGACCGCACCTAACCTTCTTAGTATGTTAAGATAAGCATCTTATTGCTTCTTAATTACAATTACTATTTAACCTATCAACGGTATAGGTTAAGTAATAATTGTAAATATGAAGCAATAAGATGCTTATCTTAACATACTAAGAAGGTTAGGTGAGGTCGATGTTTTCTACGAAGCTTTTCAAGGTAAACTAAAATATTCACAATCAATTAGTATGTCACATATGCACTTATTAAATAAGCCAATATTGACGGTAAGCAAGTGCGAGAACGGGTTGGAGGTCGAGTGCTCAATAACCCACTGCAGTGCTCAGTATGCCGAGCACATCTCTATGTATGACATACCAGAATGTATATGTGTTAGCGTTGTATACATCTATGGCCACTTTTGTGGTAGGGAACAAAAAGTAATGAACCACATATGACTGTGCAGAAAAGTAAACATTAATGACCTTAAACGCAGACATCGACGTAGACGAATATATGCTCCCTGAAGGTACGTATCTGACCGGATCAGCAATACAAAGATACGAAGAAAAGACCTGTCGCTTCTTATCTATCTTGAGATTGTCTTGAGATGATTTCGGGGCTTAACGTTCCCGCGGCCCGGTCCTCGACCAGGCCTACTTTTTGTTACACACCCCCAGGAAGCAGCCCGTAGCAGATGTCTAACTCCCAGGTACCTATTTAACTGGTCGGTGAACTTTAGCATCGAGGTGAAAGAAACTTTGCCCATTTGTTTCCGCCACCACCGCGGGGAAGGAGCCTTTCTATGTAGCCTAGTACGCTCTCATGGTCATCACAGCCAGGCTGATCCAGTAACACCATTCAAAACCTGCACAGCTCTCTCCTGAAAACTTCCATTGAGGGTTCGAGGACCTCTGATGTTACCGTTGTGTCTCCCTTCGTATTGGAGCCATTTTGCACTTCCTGCCATATCTCTCCAAGACCTTGTACTTTACTGTGTC